CTCAATTGCTGACAGTATGCTGTCCAAATCAGACAAGCAGGACACAAAGAAAAGAGAAGCCAAACTTTGCCAAGAAAAGGTAGAACAGTCCTTCAAAATTTTCTGCTTCAGAGAAAAGTCTGTCAAATGATCTAGGCCTGTGGGCCAAAATGAATGCCCCAATGTTACAGAAGAACTTTTGGTGACTGTCCGGGCGGCCTGATGTCCCTGTCATTAGGTAACATTTCACCCTTCTGGGGTCTTTGATGGAGTCAAAAACTAAATAATTGGACTTAAAGTTTTCATTAGTTATGATAAAAAGGTTAATTGGGTATAAAACCTTATACTCATAAAGATAAGATAAATAGTATTTTCTCTAAATTTGCCAAATACATATTGGCTAGACATTGTTACTGCTATTCTTACTTAGTAGCTGTTTTTGTTGTATGTAATTTTACTATGTTAAAGTTAAAACCTTCCCTTTAATTAGACAAAAAAGGGGAAAATGCTATGGGATAATCCTTCTGTGTGCTGTAAATATGTATTACTCTCATTGGTTGATAAAGAACTGACTGCCCTATAGCTGGGCAGGAAGAGATTAGGAAGGACAGTCAGACACAGAGAGAATACTAGGAAGAAGAAAGGCAGGGTCATAGGAGATGCCAGCACAGGCAGAGGAAGTAGGATGTGTAGAAAATGAGATAACAAGCCATGAGCCACATGGCAGAGGGTAGATAAGAATGTGGATTAACTTAAATGTAAGAGTTAGCTAGTAACAAGCCCAAGATATCAGCCAAACATTTATAATTAATAATAAATCCTTGTGTGGTTATTTGGGAGTGCTGCTGGGATATAAAACTATAAGTTGCATAGACCTGGGTAAACTTTAAATTTTTAAGGGCATTTTTTATTAATACAATAGGTCTTTTACCTGATGAAAGAATAGAGAGTGTGCCTGGATCCAACACATGATACTGGTGGTGTAGGAATAGAACACAAACTAGACTTTGTTGAGCAGGAAGCCAAGAGTTCTTTGCTTCCACATCCTCATTTCTTCCTGGACCATGGATGGCATCAGCATCTTCTGTCCCCAAAAACATATAACTAGGCAAAGGACCCAGGCAAAGCATAGGTCTTCCTTGCCCCACTATGCAGAAAGCTCAAGTTTACTATCAAATGTCCTTTATGTAACTGACAACAGCATTTACAACTTTCACAGAGCAGAGGAAAGATAAACACTTCTTATCAAACAACATTAAGCATCCATGAAAGCCATCTTCCACATGGTACCAGCTCACAGGGACCCCCTGGTCTTCCAAGCGCTTCTTGTAGAGCAAGACATCATCCCGGAGGATGTCATTCTCACAGCTCACCAGAAATGTCTTGGGGAGCTGAGCAATGATCTTGTCATCTGCTAGGACAGGTGAAATTTCTGCACTCCAAACATGTTTGGTTTCTAGATAGGCAGTCTCATTAAAAGGTGCAAGAAACTCTGGTTGTGGATCTTGGCTCCAAAACCTTCTGGGGATGTTATCATAGCTGAGCCATTTCCTATATTTCTTCCACTTGTCCAGTGGTATAACAGCACCTGTAGATGTAACCAACTGTCTTATTAAATAAGAAACACAGAACCAATGTAAAAGAGAAAGCCAAGAGGTCAGAGCTCAGAGCTAAAACCTTACCCTTCCTCCTGCGGTGGTCCTACCTTTCTGAAAGAGACCTACTTCCTGTGTGTTTGTCTTCATATAGTCTTTCTGTTCTGCCTTCTCATTGGTTGTAAACTCAAACACGTGACTGCCTCATCACTGCCTGTAAGTACAGCCCTCCAGGTATTAAAGGCATATGTCTCCAATGCTGGCTGGATCCCTGAATACACAGAGACTTACCTAGCTCTGACTACCAAGTGCTGGGATTAAAAGCGTACGCCAACACCAC